TATATATATATTCATTCTGAATAAATGAATAAAACATTGTAAAATATCTTTGCGTGTATCTTTGTATCTTTGCGTGTGCCTAACCCTATATTTATAATTTTGAACAAGTTATGAAACTATCATTTCATTAGATTTTTATGTTATATAGTTAGAAATGTTCAAAATAGGACATAAACTCTCTAGAGCAAATCAAATATTCATTGGGAGTTAGAATCAAAGGAATTCTCTAAAATGTCATACCTTCTCAGGTGTATTGAGTTGCTCCAACAGTACTGGAACGAAATCCTCTATAGACATTACTCCAGTTTCATATTCATTACAGTAATAAGCTAAAGTAATTCGCTCACTCTCTGTCAGGTGTTTCCTCGCTTTCCGATCCAGGCGCCGCTCCGCTGTACTCGGATTAGTGGAGGAGGCTGAAACCTGCAAATAAATGGTAATGATTTCCGTTCGTAAAGTAGTTTAACCAACTCTGTTTCAATCTTGCTTTGGTTTAAAGGAATCTATTAGTACAGTTAATATCATCGATACTGCGGTTCGAAAATTACAAAACCGCTTTCATTATTCTTCGTCATAAGATAGTAATGATGTGTAAATTTTGAAATAAAGGGAAGCCGATCATCTGATTAAATAAAACATTTGGTTAAAATCATATTATCCTTCATACTTTTGCATAATATTTATTAAAGACGGGTTTAAGGTATAAGTAAAAAATAAAAATATTTTAATATACTCTATGTTGTAAAAATATTTTTCCCACATATTTTTCTCTATGCGCAATTTTAACTGTGCTTAAATTAAAAAACAAATCTGAACTGGAATAATTTTTTACCCAAAAATAGAGTTTCTTCGCCAAAAAATTAAATTCTAATGGTTATACGACTAGATTTTAATTATGAAAATTAGTAAGTGCTAGATATGATTATGGTCAGGAAATACTTCAAAATGCAATTTATCTAAACATACTTTTTTTTTTAATGATTTGGATTTTTCACTCTCAAAATAACATCTAGCCACAATCATGAATATGAGGTTCCGGTGCTTCAATAAAGAATAATAATTTAATATTTTTATTTCCTTATTTTAATAATAATTAAAATTGGAATTGTAAGGAACTGTAACTTTTTTTTTCTTCTTCTTCAAAGGACTACAGCCCACTGAGTCAAGGTCGTCGCTATTATCCGATCAAGCATTCTGGCCTGCCATCGACTGATTTTTAGGTCTGCCTCAACGCAATCCATCCGTCTTCTGACAAGTCTTCTTTTTCTGATATCTTTTGCAAATGCCACCTTTCTAACAAGTTTCGATTAAAAATATGACCAAGTCATCTGATATGATGAAATTCTGAAGAATCTTGCTATATTAGGGTGTTTGTATTTTTAATAGAATTCATAGTTAAACAATGTTCTCCAACAATCGTTTTCTCTAATTGAGCCAAATATTTTTTCGAAGAATTTAATTAATAATTTTACATTTATTTATATCCTATATTACAATATGTCATTTGATGAAATGCAAAATTTAATTAAAAGATGGTTGAATAATTCCTAAGCAATTTAATAGTACTTCTCGTGAACTAATCGACTAATTTCGTACTCCTTTTAAATTAAAAAAAAAGTTCCTTACTAATTTAAAATTATTTTTGTTAATTACTGAATCTAGTAATGAAAGAAAATAATTGCTGCAAATTATTTTTTTACATACAATTATCTATTTAAGTAAGCAAATCATATAATAGCTGTTGAGGAAAAACTGTAATCGCACTTATTTGAAGCAGCTTTCCTCTACGTCCACGTGTTATCAGAAAGCTCTGATTGGACGTTAAGTTTGAGCCCAAGGAAGCTATAAATACAAGTAACTCTGTTTCATTGATGTTCTTTTCTATTTCTCCTGCCCCAGTGTGCGTTCCAATTGTGTAACTCTCTGATTAATGTTCTAATAAACATGTCATTCTCTGATCCACTAATCTCCTAATTTCATTTCAATAACAATAGCGTGCAAAAAATTTTCATTCGCGTCAATGGTTTCAATGGTATTTTTTATATTTTATTTTATAACCGTCGTTGAACAGCAGACCCAGTGTTTGGGTTTACGACTACTAATAATGAACTGCGTAGCCTTGTAATTTTAAACCCAATCCAGAAGACCAGGGAGCTCCTGTATCAAGTATTGGGCGACATTTGCATTCGCGAGGACTTTTCGATGGAATTAACCTGCATTTACGTTACATGGAGAGGAGAGCACGAGAACCTCCCATGGTTAGCCTAAAGGCAAAGTGACTCACGATTCGTCTACCACTGTGGATATTTCACGTCAGCACTGTGGTCGGTGCAAGCCACATGCGGATTCGTATCAACCAGCCATCGCAGGGATATGAACCCGGCTCACCTGGTTTGAAAAAAATCAAAACATTAGGGTCCGTATAAACTTCCATTCATTCCAGTAACAGAAATATTGAGACCTCATGTTGTAGATTATGGCTACATCATATCTTAGGTGTAATTTTTTTTCCAAAAAACTAAATAAATAAATGTAAAAAAAAAATTTACTGTTAATTTTTTTAAAATTGAAAATTAGATTTGAAATTGAAGTTCAAATTGAAATTTTAAATTAAAGATCTTATATTATAGTTTGAAGCTTTAAACAAAATGGTTATTGAGTATGTTATAATGGTTAAGAAAAATGTCATATAATATATGTAAATATATATTCTCATAATAATAACGCAAATAAAGCACAAATAAAGGTACAGAAAAGGACATTTGCGCTTTATTCACATTATTTTTCCTTATTCTACGTAGCATAAAGTGTACTCTAAACTCTCTGGTCTAAGTATTTTTTTAAAAAAAATTTATTTTAGATTTTAGATTTTTTTCAAAAAATAGTTAAGAAGCATAAAATATTACGTCGTCCATCTTGTGATCTCTTTTTCGTGGACTTCCTTTACGAGACAACCTAAGAGAGAGAAAAAAAACATTAACTACATCCAAATATACGCTTATACAGTATTACCAAGTAATAATAATTATAATTATTATTATTATCAACCAAATAATAAACTGCTTGGTTTTTCAGAAAGTAATTTCAATTTTTAGTGTGAAATAAAACTCAATTTTGTTCTATAAAAAAAGAACTTTAATCTGTCATCCGCGCGGAGGGACTCCACGCACTATTTTGTTTTTTTTTTATAGATACAGCACTTTCGATTTTTTTCTAATTGGGTAGTTGCACTTCAAAATGAAGAAGATTACAATACCCAGACATGTGACCGATGACATCAGTGTCAGCTGAATGTTTATAAACGAAATGGCGTGTTAAATTTGAGCTAAGTATCTCCTCACAAATTAGTTAACGTGAAATTAATTAAATACAGCTCTGTATCACACCTAAAATTTGTTGAAATATANATCTTCTATTCTACTCGACGCCATTTTGATATTTTTCTGATAAGTTCATGATCCCGCTCTACCGTCCTTATTATCAAAAAATTCAACCAAGTGTGATTTGAGGTCATGCTGAAATTTTATACCATTTCAAAAGTGAAAATTTCGATATAAATGATAATCCGATGTTGCAAGGTGGGGTCTACTTAAGGGACTTTCCAACCAAGCTCCAATGATTACGTACGTGTTGCTAAAGTATGTCATACCTCGCATTGTGAGATGGAACCGAATCCTTTGTGGTTTGAGATCTTCCATATTGCCCCATTCTTTTATTCTTTTACCATTGGTAGCAAGGTCGGGAGAAAGAACCAAACCGATTTTTTTTTTAAATGAATAAAAACTGAAATTACTTTCTTGCAAACCCAATATTTTACACAAGAGGGCCCCGCCCCTGCTCGCTTCACTCCCCCAAACCTCACAATTGCTACGTATTGTTCTATTTCTTGACGATAAATAGACAGATGCACAAAGTATTAAATTAAAATTATCTGAAATATTTTATTGTATCAACACAGTTTTGGTTTCGCATATTTAGTCCCCGATCCTATCGTGATAAAGTTTTAACCGAATTCTTTAGCTCCGTTACCTTTGTAACTTCACCTACATTTTTTTTAAAAAATCCCCTACATAATTTGTGGTTAATATACGAAAACTCGTCAAATGTTTTTCGCCAAGAGGTTTTTTTAGTTCAAAAAGTTGAATCCTTGTTAATGTCTTACATTTTGTATTCAATGTTTTGAAGGGTAGATGTTGGCTGAACATAATTTAATGTAAGTCTTTACTATGAAACTACTCTTATAACTACTTTATTATAACATAATTACAGCTTAAAAAACTTCGTTCGTTTAATCATATCACTTCTACCTGGAATCGGAGAATGTTTATGACTTGTAATGCTAGAGATAAGCATTTGGATTTAGTTATTAAACTTCCATTGTGCGAGCCAACGAAGAGGATGTATATGACTGCAAAACGCTGACGTCAACGTTACGTCAACAGGAGAAAACAGATGAAATGATCGTCAATAGGATACCTGCAAGTGACGTAGTATGGGTATCTCGCAACTGATTGGTTGCCGAAACGAAGCTTTTGTTTACGTTAGCGACTGTTCTTTTCATTCTTTTTCCAGTAATCCAAGAACTTCAAGTATCAATTCTCTTCCGGGACACATTTTATATTCTTTCACGAAGATTCTTTTACGAAGATTTCAATTCTTCCATTATATATTTCTTACTTAACACAAAGAAAAGCACGAAGTGATTTAGGACATAAACTAATTATGCTTCGAAGTTGCCAGGTATACAAACAAAAATATATCACGATAACAATAAAATACATAAACAAATAATAAATCTAAGTTAAATAAAAGACGCAGACGAGAAAGAATTATATTTCAACAAATTTTAGGTGTGATACAGAGCTGTATTTAATTAATTTCACGTTAACTAATTTGTGAGGAGATACTTAGCTCAAATTTAACACGCCATTTCGTTTATAAACATTCAGCTGACACTGACGTCATCGGTCACATGACTGGGTATTGTGATCTTCTTCATTTTGAAGTGCAACTACCCAATTAGAAAAAAATCGGAAGTGCTGTATCTATAAAAACAAAACAAAATAGTGCGCGGAAGAAGTGAAACTTCGTAATGTGGAAATGAAAATAGGAAGAGGTAGAAATTGATTTTTAGTGAAATCATATTGTTTCTTTAAGACAAAATAGAATTCAAACATTTCGTTTCTTACTTTAGTTATCATAATCCCATTGTAAATGTTATAGATTTGGATATTTCTCCACTCGAAAATGATAATTAAAAGATGCGATCAATTGTGAATTGTAAGCATTGTTAATAAAGTTTGTCTTAAAGAAACAATATGATTTCACTAAAAATCAATTTCTACCCCTTCCTATTTTTATTTCCACATTACGAAGTTTCACTTCTTCCTCGCGGAGGGACTCCACGCACTATTTCGTTATTAGCGTTAAACGTTTAACGCAACCTTGCTGGAAGTCGCATTAGAAGCTTCACTTCAAAAACAACCAGAAAAAGCGACACACACACTTTTGTCACCCTTTAAAAAATAACAAAACAAAGCAGCAAAAAAAAAAAAAACGCCGATGCAACAAAAACAAAAATTATTAGTAAGGTTTCGCAGTTTTAGGTACCATTCTGCATACATAATCTTCGAAGTAATTGAGCAGACGCATTTGAAGTGCGCATGCGCCCAGTGTCTGTGAACTTCGCACTAGTAACGTTAAAGAAATATCCAAAAAAGTTAGGGCATACTTCGTGCGATAAACACTAATAAAAAAGTAAAAAAAAACGTGCATAAAGCACTAATTGAAATGCATAAGCGGACATACGAACCTAAGTATGTTCATTTTTGCATTTTCATTTGAGTTTCATTTAGATTTTCTTTATTTAAATAAAGAAGTTAGTAACTAGTTGACGAGCATGCGCAGTTACTTTAAAACGGGATCGTGCTGGATGATATGTAAAACGCGAAATCACTCCATATGGAAAGCCTTTTTTACTAAAGAACTCTTCAATAAAAACTAAATGTGGTGTATACGTATATCTTTTTAAGTTAAAATATATATTTAAACCGACGCGATTTAAATTATTCGCTATTTTTAATTTAACCAAGTTTTCCCCCATAGTTTTGGATAACTAAAAAAATCGAATCCCTAATGTATTTTCAATTTCACATCTTTATAATATGTATGCAATATGAATTTTTGCCAGTATAATATTACTTCATTTGCAAATCATTTTCGTTTCATAAATGTATTCATAATGTACGTCTGTATCCGAATTCTATATGTATACATGAATTTCATAATTTTTGTTCTTTGCACAGAATTTATATTTCATAACCACATTTGCATTTCATAATTCTATCATTTTACACTGGCATTTTCTTATGCTAATTGTATAATAATTTAATTTTTAAAATTGCATTTGCATTTAATTTCATTTTATTCAGTATAAATAATTCATGAGAGGTAAATTTGAAGTATTTGTATTTAAAAAATTATATTTGTTGAATTTTATTATTCAAATTTCAACTGCTTTTCAATAATTTTTTTTAAAAAATAGATCAAATCTGAATAAAAACGAATTAACTGTAACAAAGGCATACATCATAATTAGAAATACATCTAGAAAATAATTACATAAATTTTCTACAGGCATTTCCTGATGGAAAAATATCGAAGCGTTTCTTAAAAAAGATGCAATTTCTCCATGAGGAATAAAAAAGTTAATTAAATATCTGTAGTGTATGAGTAACGAGAAAACTTAGTCGTCACATTTTTCTATGTCAAAAAGTTTTAAAAGTCATAAAGTGATGTTCGTTCGCAAAGTCTTCCGATAACATAATAAAAATTAATGGCATTTTACGAATAAAATCAATTTAGTTATGATGGCTTATTTAATTAGAGTTTATTAGTTTATCTTGCACGAAATATGAACACTTCATATCAGAGTTACGCTTCCTTTATAAGATTAAAAGAAAAGTACATCTTTTAATTTGCGATGGCAATGTTGATATTACTTGATCTAAAACAACATTTTCTTAGTAGGTTTTTAATACACTTACACTACCAAAATATAAAGTTTGTGTCAATTTGGCTTGACATTCTCAAAAATAACGAAATTGTTAATTTTAAGTGCCAATAGGGCGTCGTAAATTTTTAAAAATTTGTAACAAAAAAAAAACTGTTACGGTTATGAAAACAATCCTTGTAGCAAAGTCATGTGACGATGAATGATTGTTCTCCTTCAGTTTTTGATTCTATTTCAAAAAATTTCAGATAGATGGCGCTATAAGCCACTTTTATCATTTGTCTGTTGCTTTGTGATGTTCGAAACCATCGTTCTCTGATTACAATTTACGGTTGGGACTGATGTGGAACATTTCCGAAATATTGTAATGATATTATCATTTTGAAAATCTCTGTTGTGATTTTCAAATCTTTTTCCTTGAGTTTCAGGTTTATGACTTGAAGCGCCATCGGTTGAAATTTTTGTGAACTAAAAAAGGAACTATGAGAGGAATAATTCATGCATCGTCACAGAAATTCTAAAGTGTGTTCTCTTTTTAACTTAGCCGTTATCCTATTATTAGACTAAAATATATCCTGACTTTAGAATCAGTAAAATTAACCAAACTTTTAGAGTAGGAAAGACATGATAAAAATTGAGAATTGTGTAACAACTTCATGATTGTATAGCAATTTGAAAAGAAATGTCAATTTATGTCTCTGGGTCATCTTTAACATAATTTTCTGCTGAACTTATTTCATATATGTTTGGTAATTAGTTGACGATTATTTCTAATAATATTTTAATTTATTGTTAAAAAATTTAATTAGTTATAAAGAAATTTAAAAAAAAAACAGTTAATTTGATTTTTATAAACATAATGCAAACTAAAGCTTTTGATAAAGTGTGAATTGATGTCAGTGTTTTATTTCTCTTTTTAAACTAGTTGACTTTACTTATTTAC